GACAACAGTGGGGATTCGCTGACTGAAGGCAATTGGATTCCTAGTGTAGGTAAAGTTAAGTGCGTGTATAAGGCAGTGGTGGGCAACCTGCGGGCCGCACACGGACGGTCAGGGTAATCCGCTGGTGGACTGCGATACAATGTTTATATTGACCGTCTGCAGGCACAACCTCCCGCAGTGGCCGCAGTTCGCCGTTTGCAGCCAATGGGAGCTGCGGGAAGTGGCTGGGAACGGCGAACCGCGGCCACAGGGAGCTGAGGGGCTCCATGCCTGCAGACACTCCAAGTAAACAAAACATCCCAACCCACCAGCGACTCACCCTGACGGGCCAGGAGCCAAAGTTTTCCAACCCCTGAAATATAGGGTCGGCTTATGAAAGGGTCATACAGTTTTTGCTATTTTTACCTATCCATTTTACCTACCTATTTTTGGGGGTCGGCTTATAAACGAACAGGCTAATGAATGAGTATACATGGTATTTTCTTTCTTTTTGTTGTTAATAAAATTTATCTTTTTTTAAGTACAGTATTGGATTTTTGGTGTCCTAAGAGGTTTGTGCATATGTTGTTAATTAGCTGCTGGCAACAGCTGATTTCCTTTGTTTTCTTCTCAGCTCTTCCCCGGAGGGGTGGGAGTGTGAAAGGGCTTGAGGGTACCCCACAGGGAGGAATTCCCAAGTGCTCCTTCCTGGGTCCAAAGGGGTTTTTTGCACCCCTTTGCACCACTTGGGTGGTGGCAGCATCTACCCATGCAAGGTCAGAGAGAAACTGTAACCTTGGGAGTTAATACAAACCTGGAGTGGCCAGTATTAATTTTTAGAATCCTTGTGGGCCCCCACCTTCTGCACTCGAAGTGCCAGAGTGGGGAATCAGCCTTGACAATTCTCTTCTCTGCTTTTGATCCCCCTCTCCCTGCCTTCCTATCTGGCCAGAGTGTGCCCCTTCCCTTTATTTATCCTCTTGTATTTTTCTCCTTTTCCTGTCTCTCTACTTTTCTTTCTTAAAAACATTCCCCTTGTTTCCCATTTAAATACAACTTACTGCCTCCTCTTTGTCTTTCTCTTCACCGTTCCCTTTCTCTGCTATTTGTACCTTTTCTTTCCTCATGCTCCAATATTTTCTCTCCTATCTTTTATCCCTTGTTCTGTTTTCTCCATTATGCTCAGTTGTCAGAGCCCTCATCTCTTTTCTTTCCCATAGTTCCCCAGCTTCTTTTCTTCTCCTCACCCATCTCAGGATCATTAGCCGGGGGGTAACACGAGGGCTAGCAGACTGCTTTTTTTTTTTTTGTACCCTGGCACATTAAGGACCTGATTCAAAGCCCTTTGAAGACAACAGGAATCTTTTCATTGACTTCAATGGACTTTGGATCAGGCTCTAAGAGAATAAAGTGTCAGTCATCTTCCAACCCAGCAATTGCATAGGAATGCTCCCTTTTGCAGCATAGAGGTGGAGCGTGCTGCTGACACCTCATTAAAATTGGATCTTTCTCATTGGATTGTCAGTTTGCTGCCTGTAGTTCTATAGCAGTTTGGGACCAGGAAGCATCAAAAATTCAGAATAGTATGGTCCAGTGGCACTTTTGGGTAGCGAGAAGACTCTTACAAAAACATACACTATGCTAAAAATATGCTACTCTTTCATAATGTTCTTCACAGGCAAAATATGTATTTAGACAATTTCCTGGTTTTAGCACATAAATGCCACAGTGTGAAAAGCAGTAGCAGCAGTCTCCAGATCTTCATTCATAGTATTTCAACTAAGCGTGAATTAAGCGAAGAGTAAAATACTTTTTGGATCCATTGTGCTTATGTACTGCTGTGGTGTCCAAATACTGAATAATCTTGCATCTGTGCTGCAATACTGATGCACAACAGAAAGGATTACAGATGGCATGTCATCCTTAATTTTGAATTGCTTTTGCTCATCTGAATTTAAATCAGATCAGACTCATAGAAATATTTAAATGTATGTTTGTTTTGTGGTTTAATTTTTTTCCCTATTGTGCAATGATTTAAAATAGTACAGTTGCTTATTTATTGTAGTTGACAAAATTAGAAATAGAATAAAATATCAGAAATATTAGAAATATAATACAAAATTAGAAATATAATACAATGCACCCTCAGTAAGTTCTCAGATGACACTAAACTGGGGGGAGAGGTAGATACGCTGGAGGGTAGGGATAGGGTCCAGAGTGACCTAGACAACTTGGAGGATTGGGCCAAAAGAAATCTGATGAGGTTCAACAAGGACAAGTGCAGAGTCCCGCACTTAGGACGGAAGAATCCCATGCACCGCTACAGGCTGGGGACTGACTAGCTAAGCAGCAGTTCTGCAGAAAAGGACCTGGGGATTACAGTGGATGAGATGCTGGATATGAATTAGCAGTGTGCCCTTGTTGCCAAGAAGGCTAACGGCATATTGGGCTGCATTAGTAGGAGCATTGCTAGCAGATCAGTGGAAGTGATTATTCCCCTCTATTCAGCACTGGTGAGGCCACATCTGGAGTATTGCGTCCAGTTTTGGGTCCCCCACTGCAGAAAGGATGTGGACAAACTGGAGAGAGTCCAGTGCAGGGCAACGAAAATGATCAGGGGGCTGGGGCACGTGACTTATGAAGAGAGGCTGAGGGAACTGGGGTTATTTAGTCTGTGGAAGAGAAGAGTGAGGGGGGGATTTGATAGCAGCCTTCAACTACCTGAAGGGGGGTTCCAAAGAGGTGGAGCTCAGCTGTTCTCAGTGGTGGCAGATGACAGAACAAGGAGCAATGGTCTCAAATTGCAGTGGGGGAGGTCTAGGCTGGATATTAGGAAACACTATTTGACTAGGAGGGTGGTGGGTGGAGCACTGGAATGGTTTACCTAGGGAGGTGGTGGAATCTCCATCCTTAGAGGTTTTTAAGGACCAGCTTGACAAAGCCCTGGCTGGGATGATTTGGTTGGTGTTGGTCCTGTTTTGAGCAGGGGGTTGGACTAGATGACCTCCTAAGGTCTCTTCCAATCCTAATCTTCTATGATTCTATGAAAGCATACTGTATATGCCATTCACAAACTCTTTCTGCAGTGGCAGCATTCACCACACAATATGGGCTATTGAATTAGTTCATTTCTTCATCTTTGTTTTTGTTTTTATCAATTCTGATAGTCCAGGTGTCTTTTTAAGCAATTGCTGTTTTTTGGTGGGGGAGTTTTTTGCAACGGTGTATTGGAGAGAAAATATGAGCTGTAACACAATTTATTTTTTATATCAACCCAGGCGCCTTCCCAAAATCCTAGTAAAAATAACAAGGGGATTGCAGGCTTTTATATGCCCAAATTTTCTGAGATAATATTTGATATATTTTATATTCAATAAATAAAGAAAGAAAAATATTGCATCTGGGAAATATGGAGGAACAGATTCTGGCCCCTACTGCATCATCTTTGGTCCTCCACTGATGCAAAGCTGCTCCAGTGATGGCTTAACTGGCTATCTAAGGATTTCCCAAGAGTAGTAGGGCCAACATAGTGGTTTCTGTGACCCCTCTCCTCCATCACAGCTGCAGTATAGGGCATATGACTGGGCATATGGGAGTGTGGCAGAGGAGTTAGTATACCCTGCTGGTCCCCAGCTGCTGTACCAGCCTTTTGGGAAACCAATCTAGATTGCACCTTGAGACTGGACTGTTGCCCAGTGACCTGAAGACTGGGAGAATGTAAATGGTTCAGAGCTTCCTTCATTTTCCCCTCCCCTGAGCTGCAATGGGTATCAGTGACTAGTCCCTAGACTGTTCCTGGGGCTTTTTTTTTTTGTTCTCTTGAAATCCAGGGGTATCTTGACATGGACTTCATAGGGAGCAGTCTAAGGTCTCCACTCTGAACATTCCAGGTCAAATTAAGGCACCTGTGATGTCAATGGCAAAATTCCTGTTGATATCAGTGGGGCCAGGATTTCACCCCTTCTCTCCAAAAAATTGCTGAACATTGACAGTGAATCTTCAGTTGATCTGGCATACATGTTCAACAGCAACTTCTACTGTACTTTGAACATGTTACAAGTAGCTTAGTAATTCTTTTTTGTTTTTGTTTTGAGAACACAAGGGAACTCTCCTGTACTCTACCTATTGCAGTTTAAGATACAATACTTATAAAGTCTATACCCCATTTACTGCCCTTTTGTAACTCTGTTATTGGTCTGCTTGCAGCTTCCAGAGCTAAACTCAACATGATCAACACAATGTCAAAAATTCGAGGTCAGGAAAAAGGACCTGGCTACCCTCAGGCTGAGGCCTTATTGGCAGAAGCTATGCTGAAGTTTGGAAGAGAACTCGGAGATGAATGTAACTTTGGTAATGTGGTTTCTTTTCTTTGAATTATGCGAGTATATTAGTGCTTGTGTAGAGTAAGAGCTTTGGAGAACAGCCTGCAATAAATGCAAAGCTCAGATACTGTCACACTGTTCAGTTCCCAGCAGGCCTATGTCAATCAAGATGATGTAGATCCCATATCTTTCCAGGATGGGAAGTGGAGATTGTTTTCTGACTGGTGAAAGCCAAGCCATTTTCATTTGGGGTAATAACTAGATAGGCTTTATACCGCCTTACTGTGTACATTGTGATGATGCATTCTGACCAAAAGAGTAGAATGGTCAGAAGCGATACTATTATAGGGAGTTCATAACCTCCTACAGTCATGCTAAAAGCTCTCCTGTCCTCAGACTCCTTACAGGAGGATGTCCCTACCTTCACTGCAGATATGGAATAAAGGATAACAACAAATAAAAATCCAATGTACAATGATGAGTTGAAAATATTAATTCCTCTCACTCTACCTGGTCTTTCTGCTGCCTGAACTCTACATTTTAGGGTACTAGTCCACACTCTTCTCATTCATTATCCATCAAAACTCCCATTGAAGTCACTGGGAGTTTTGCTGGTAAGGAATACTGAAGTTACGTTTCAACAGTGGAGGTCGTCTTCAGCCTAATCAGTGAGATCACATCCACAACATGTTCTTTTGTATCTCCATAACCCATTTGAGTGGAGCTCTGTGCAGTCAGTTTTACACTAGTACGTTGCTTGAACAATAGCTCGAAAATTCTCTTCTATTCTAAGCTTTAATAAAATTCTATTCCTGGCATGAAGACATCTGCAGAAGAAAAGGTGCCCTCTGGTTTGGTTTAATCCTCCTAGACTCAAATTACCTACTAATTAATTTAGCAGCCATGGACTGATTCGGCTGAACAGTGCTGGCTTTTTTTGAAAATCAGTTCTCTCTCACATGATAAATTTCAAACATTTTTAACAGATTGGCTTAATAAAGTGTAATCTGAACAAATTCCTGTGTAATCCTGATGATCATGCTGGCAAAAGGCAGCATAGCTATACCATAGGTTCCTACCTAGTAATGCTGCTTCTAGATATTAGTCATCATTCCTCCCGATGTCTACAGCAGGTTCTCTGGTTATACAATATGTTGGTGAGGTCCTCTGTTTGGGAGACAAAGCTAATGACTGGGATTCGTTGTTAGGCGGGCTTACTTATTTTGGTGTGCAGGTCCTAGTTTCATAACCAACCTATTTAAAATTAGACTCTTTTCCTCCATTCCAAGTCTCGAAGCAGGTTTGGATTCTCTGCTACTGCTTCATGGGACAGATAAGAGTAGTTTTTGTGAACCACAGCTGTGGGGCAGATTCAAAAACACTGGGGCCAGATCTTGCCTTGTGTTTGGTGGCTATACTGGGGGTGCGATAGACATCATCGCTCCCAGCAGTAGGGCTGGATTCCTACCTAGTAGCTGAGGTATTGGGAGATGGGCTAAACTACTTCACCTGCTGAATACACTAGACTTCAGTTAAATTTTGAAACTGAGGATTTTAAATTTAATATATTGTTATTGAATTAACTATAAAAATCAGTAATATAGCCAGTACAGGGGATACCCTCTGCTTTTAATATTCATTTTATTTTGCACTTCCCTTAAAATCTGTATTTTCAGAGCACTGGATAATTTTTTTATTGGGATGTGAGTAATTTTAGACGTTGTTTCTGGAGGTTTTGTCACTAGGAATATCGTAAATTACAGGCTAAATAGTCAGTTTGTCAGATTGTCAGTTTGTTTCTGATAAAATGCTCAGCAGTGAAATTGCTAATGATTTTGACATATAAATGGCCAGAGTCAACACATTTAAAATTAATAGGGCTGGTCAGACCTCTGATAGAATGACTGTTTCACAAAATCTGCAGCCTACAGAAGACAACACTGCATCAGGTGTAGATGGTTTATCTCTGGCAGGTTTTCTTTTACCACCATATGGGTCTTTGATTTAAAAAAAAAAAAAAAAAAAAAAGCTTGGATTCTGAAGTACATTCAATTTCTGTGGCTGCAAAACTGTAGCATCAATTGTGGCCTTCCCACAATGCCTCATATTTTTCTGCCATGTATTTAAAACTGAAGTTTAAATTTTATTCTTAACTGGGGTCTGTGTCTCAGCTCGGTTCTGTATTAATGCAGAACCACATCCCACTGTTTGTATTTAAGGTAAACTAGATACACTCTTCTATTCCAGGCCCAGCCCTGGGTGATGTTGGGGAAGCTATGAGAGAACTTTCTGAAGTCAAAGATTCTTTGGACATTGAAGTGAAGCAGAACTTCATAGATCCCCTGCAAAATCTCCATGATAAAGATCTGAGAGAAATACAGGTATTGCCAGAGATGGAGTTGCATGATTTTGGAAAGCCAACTAAACACCCTGTATATTTTCAAGACTGTTACTTTAGCTGTGAGGCTCAAGGTCTTTGTAAATCCCTAAAAGGCCTCATTTTTTCTCTTTGAATAATAAAAGTCAAATCAATTTCCTTCCATTCAGTGGCTTTTTAAAATGTTCAGAAGCAAAATGCCAACATTATTTTTAGTGACAATCCACATTGTCTGTCTTGAAAAATCCATTATTGTGCAGGCCTGGCTGCTGTATTCTAATTCTAGCATAAAAAATTCACTTACAAATTATAAGTGGTTTTCTAGTGTGCATTTAAATAATTTAGGCCAGTGTTAATGGTGGCTTACCTTAGATCCAGATTTTGAATAGCTGCCTCTGAATTTGCACTTGCAGTTTTATATGCCTGGTGATTTGCACCCACAAACTCCCCAGAATTTGAAACACAATCATCATTTGTGTGTGCAAATTAGTTAACCAGCTACTTTATTTGCATGTGCAATTATTGTATATGCGCACATTTGTTTTTTGCTGGTGCAAGTGACATCACACACACTTGTCGGTATAAATTTGTGTCCCGATTCTGCAAACCCTTGCACATGTGAGTAACTTCACATATGTGCATTCAATGACACTTCCTGTGATAAAGTTAAGCATAGGTGTAAGTGTAGAATTGGGGCCTCAGCAGGGGACCTTGATGTTTTAAAAGTTTGGCACTCAATGTTTGCTGAGTGAATCATGTCAGATCACAAATTATTTCTTGTATTTTGGTAATGAAAACCTAAAATACTCATGCTTTAGTGTTTTACTTTCTTAGTCCCTGAGCCAGCAGTGGCATTTGTAATAATAGGACTGGAAGAGACCTCAAAAGATCATCTAGTCCAGTCCCCTGCACTTATGGCAGGACTAAGTATTATCTAGACCATTCCTGACAGATGTTTCTCTAACCGGCTCTTTTAAAAAAATGCTTTAGTGAACCTAATATGGAATTTGCTAACTAAATACAGTGACAGCAGTGATGTTTGGTAAGTTAATAAATCACTCAGAAATTAAGATGCATTGCTGATCTTGTGAGAACTGCAAAAATTATCCCCTGAGTTGTACTGGGAAAGAAAACTAGAATGTAAGGAAAAAATTGTTCCTAAACTCCTGGGGGATATGCACAGTATGCAGATAATTCTAGATTATAAATAAAACTATAAATTACTATCCACTCTCATGTATCTAGGTGTCACTGCAATTTGCCATTGTGTTCTCTTTCTGTAAATCACTCTGTGATGGAGCTGCTTTGGTGTTTTGACACAAAATGCCATGGTGCTCCCTTTGAAGTGTAAACCTACCTCACTTTTCTGTGTTCCTTTACTCCTGTAAAACTGTGATGTATAGTAGATTGGCAGCATATACTTTCAGCCTCTGTTGACTGACTGACAATGTAGTGGACTTAAAGCAAAGAAAGAGGAGTTGGGAAACTGTTTCCATCATATACACACTATTTCCGTTTCATATTTTTCAGCACCACCTGAAGAAAATGGAAGGTCGACGCCTGGACTTCGACTACAAAAAGAAAAGACAAGGCAGGCTCCCTGATGAGGAGCTACGCCAAGCTCTGGAGAAATTTGATGAGTCCAAAGAAATAGCTGAGTCAAGCATGTATAACCTTCTGGAGATGGATGTGAGGAAATCCCTTATTTATGTTTTGAAATGAGTTTTGAAATGAGAGGAAGAATGGTCCAGTGGTGAGGGCACTAGACTGACTTCAAGTCCCTGCTCCACCACAGACTTCCTGTGTGACTTCGATCTTTCAGCCTTTCTGTTGCTCAGTTCCTCATCTGTAAAATGGGAATAATAGCACTTTCCTACCTCAGAGGGGATTATGAGAGTCTCGGACGTCATGCTAAAGGGGACCATATAAATACCCGAGAGAGAGAAATTATTCCACTGTTAATATTTCATCCTCACTAACAGTTTAAGGTTATTTATGGCAAAAGAAAGAGTATCTCCATGATCAGAATTATATAAATGCTTGTCCACAAGTCATGATTTCCCATAAACTCTGGTACATGACTATTCAAACATGGCTTGGCAATGTAACTTCTGCTTATAGAATAGCTGTGACTTGAGCGTTATGCTGGAAAAATGAGCAGCATTAACTGAAACCAAAGACATTGGGGTCTTTTTTCCCTTCATAAATAAGGTTGAAAACTGCAAAATCAAAAGAAGACAATGGTACTCCTTCTTTTGGAGAAAGGAATTCCTCTACACTAAAATCTATTCTATTTCATTTCTGTGCACTTGAATCTACAGATTCAGTGTTTCAAGTGAAATAGATAAATGAGTGGAATTATTTAGATTTAAATTCATACTCATTTTAAAGCCCCTGTATACTGTCAGAGCAGTGGAAAGGGGCCTTAATATAAATTAAACTATATACATAAAAATAAATATAGCTGTCTTGGAGTGCATACAAGTGAAAGGAGTAACTGCACAATACAGTCTGGATATTTTTTTATTATTTCACCAATTTTTCCATCTAGCCCCACATAGCTAGTTTGTTTTGACCTAGATCATAGCATTTTGACACTGTCATGAAGTTCTGTGGGGAGTCACGTTGCCCCAGAGGGAGCACTGGGAGGCGTTCGTTCTCCTTAAGGAAGAGATAATGAGTGCACTTCCACGGCCTACACCCCATTTTGAGGGGCCCTTTACTCTTTCCCTATGTGGCCAGCTAGCTCTACTGGCCTGCGTCTAAGGAAAGCAGAGCCATGGCCCTTGTCATTCTGCATGCCTCAAACTCAGGCTGCAAAATATGAGGGAAGGTTCCTTCTGCCTTTCCTCCTTATTGCCCTTCTGTACACAGAATTCTCAGAATGAGTTGGGTCTTGAGGCCTCAAACCCACGGAGGTGATCAGTTGAGAAAGAGCTGTAGCTGCAGCCCCCATATATGTGGCCTAGTGACATAATCATATGCAGTAACAAATAGATAAGCCAAGCTTAACTGGTCCCTAGGTATTATCTGACTTATAAAGAGGAGGCAAGATTGCAGAGAGAAAGGAAAGGTACCTCTGTGGTGTCAGAGCAGTAATGTTCCATGGAAGCTGTTTGAACACTGCTGCTCAACAGTATTGAACTAAGACTTGATTTTTCATGTTGATCCTTAGATTGAACAAGTGAGTCAGCTTTCTGCTCTTGTAGAAGCCCAGCTGAAGTACCACAGACAGGCAACACAGATCCTACAGCAAGTTACTGCCAAGTTGGAAGAGAGGTAACATTCACTTCTCATCAGACTCTGGAATTTACTCTTCTTCTGTACAAAGGCAAAATATGTGCTGGATGTAAAACATTTAAAAGATCTTTTCCATTTTATAATCATAACAATGCTGTCCTCTAAGGCAGTTGCAAGTCTAGGTTCATGTTGGCTGGAGACATTAGTAAGTAAAATTATGCACTTTTATTAACGTGCTCCTGACTTAAGCCCCCAATTCAGGAAAAAAACCTCTCCTATTCAGTAAAGCATGTGCTTAACTGAAAGCATGTGCTTACGTCCAGTTGAAGTGATGGGAGTTAAGCATATGTTTAAGTGCTTTGATGGATGGATGGATTTAATCTGCTTTCAGGAATCAGAGCCGTGGCATGTATCAATTTTGCATTGGCTTTCTAAAAAACAAATGAGTTGTAAATTATCCTAATTGAAGGACACTATCTTTTTATCCTGTTCCCCATCACCCTGCACACACAGTGAACTCCATAACCCAAAAGGGATATTGGGGATTCCCATTATCTGCCAACTTAAAAAAAAAAATCCCTCTTCTCAGCTCTAGTATCACAGCCACTCTTCGTACAAGGGTTGTCACACTGTGTTTGCACCTTTCCACTACTCCCCTGTGGCTGTGCATATCATCTCAGAACTGACAGTGTCTTTTGAATGTTACAAACCCGTTGTTACTTACACAGTTCTTTCCAACTAGATTAAACAGATTGGTTCCATTTGAAAAGAGGACAATTGCTGTTCAAAGTGAAAATCTCCCATCCACCCCCGCCCCACATAAACACACTTTGGAAAACAGATCTGAGAGAAAGTCAGATAATAATGAAAAGGATTTATTTGCCTTCTCTGGTTCCATTTAATCCTGAATGACTCTTCTCCTAAAATCTTGGACATGGAAGGAAGTGACCATAAATCCGAACAGCTGCTGATGTTAATATAGTGTTCTCACACATTCAGTAAAATTAATACAAAGCAAAGTCTTCATGTTTTTTGTTTTCTGCTATCAATGCTATAAGTCTAGTTTCTGGTAACACTAGGCGTTGCCATTTCATTATTTGCTAACGCACACATTTGCTAGCGCACACATCCTATACTGTCCTGACTCCTACATTTGTCTTAGCTCAGCTGTAGCTTGAGCATAATGTACAGAACTTGGTATGGCAGTTAGACTGCTTGGCAGGGTGGTTTTGGCTGCAGTTTACAGAACAGTGTAAGCAGCCAGCAAAGAAGGATTGCCAAGCCATTCCGCATGAATACCGTAGTTCACGTATTGTATAGAAACATTAAAATGATCAGACATGTTGGATCACAGTCCAGATGTTGTTACAAGCACATGCCAAAGTGGACCTGCCTCCTCCTCATTGCAGATTCCTCTCCCTTTAAGACCCACAGCCAGCCTCCAACCCAGTGCAGGTCCCCCTCTGCTCTCTTCACGTGTCTGGTAAATGTCTAGATTGTTTACCTTGTTCATATAACTGGTCAGGATGCTTTCAGCATCTCGAGCACCTTGCGCCAGTCTGGTCAGCAGCAATGGCTTAAATATGTTACTGTTCATCATCACCAGTAATAAAGATTCTGCAGAACAAATTATGCCTCAATTACAGCTGGGTTTGCACAGCCTTCACACCCATAGGCTTGTACGGGTGTCGTTAATGGCAGAATTGGACCTAAGTGATCTTTTACTGGTGGTGTTATGCAAGTAGCAAAGAACTGAAATGAATGTTCAGATCCCTGTACACTGCAAAGCAATCACAGTGGGGGAGGGCGAAAGCTTTTTACCGGTAAACCGAGCAAATTTGATCCTTAGTCACTCAGACACAAACATGGAATCTCACAATGCCAATTTTACAGTCACTTTTCAAGATATAGCTGCACTTACCATTGAAAACGGTTTCATTTGGGAATGACACACATCTGCCTCCCCTAGGTCACTCATTTTTCATGGCCACAAACCTTCTGGATCCTAAAGATCCCATTGCTACCACCTCTTAATCAACCCGAGGGACTGGTGCTGAATAATGCAAAGCGGGCCCTTCTTACCTCTAGGGGCAAGGTGCACTTTCTACCCCCAGACTCTCAGCCTGAGACCAGAACTGTGAGTCCAGCCCAGGTCTTCCAATATTGCTAGTCCCATGAGCTCAAAATCCATGAGTCAAGTCCCCATCAGTCATGATATTGGCTTAAACAATCATGAGATTTTAAAAATAAATGTCACATTATTTTTATTTGTTTTCTGAGCTTTTAGGGTAAACATAGGTCATATTTCCAAGCTTTCTGCTGCAACCAGAAGGGCGAGAAACTTACTTTTTTTTTTTTTTTAAATGAAAGCTGAGATTTCCATGAAATAACATCATTGCAGGAGCTGGGGCTGTAAGAAAAATACTAAACCTCATGATACTTGCAATGAAATCATGAGAGTTTACAATACGGACTGATCTTTTTGTTTTAGTCTTAATGAAAAAATTAAAAACAGGCTTGGATCACACTTTTGAAGACACTAGCATGGTAGAGGGGTTTGACCATCACTCTGGGAGCCAGTGCTTGAGAGTTCTTGTCCTAGCTGTGATGCTGGCTCTCTGTGTGGTTTTTGACATGCCACTAAACCTATCTGCCTCAGTTTCACAATCTGAGAGAAATGATACTTGCCTCCCGCACACGAGCTTTGTGACGATTAACCACCTCTATTATTTAGTTAATGCTTTTATAGCACTCTGAAGAGGAAAAGACCTGTCTGGGGCTGAGTAGTAGTAGTATTTTAAAGGGTGATCAGACCCTGGATATAAGAATCAGAACTGCCATAAGTGAGAGACAGGAATTTTCAACAAAAGCCATATAGCAGACATATTAATATATGCGCTTTGTACCATTAGCACTAATGGCAGCAAACCCGGCTCAAACCAAAGTTTGAGCAACATTACTGAAGCAAAACTCTTACTGAGTCATATCCAA